ATTTATCATGTTTCTGTGTCTTTATTTCTATAAACTAGTTGTTGGATGAAAGGTTTAATTATATTCAGATTCACTGGGGAGAGAAGGATTTTGTTTTGTTTCCTTTTGAAAATAGAGGTTTATAATACTACTGTGTAGTAATATTTTGTTCTCCCATCAGGAAGCAAATATCATCTGATTATCTTTTTTGTGTGCGTGATGTTACCAGCTCTTGGTGCTCAATGCCTAGATCCATTGATTCATTGGGATTGCAAATGGAACCCTTTTTGAATTGGACAATGTTCTAGACACACTTATGTATACACACATCCATATAGACATTTCTGGGAGCAAATTTATCTCAAGTCAACTCTTGTCTTTCCTTTAATAATCTCTTTATTTCATTCTTACTTGTTCTTGAACCTCTCTTGTTATAAAAAATCTCTTTTCTGTACAAAAATATGATATGTGTAATACAAAGTGATGGCCCAAATTTATAGTAACAACTTTCCAAGGGGAATACAATTATCTTAGAGGAGGGAGGACAAGAATAAATGAAGAGGAAAGAAGCATTTATAAAAGATAAGGAGGCCACAAAAATTGTGTTATCTGGGCTCAGTATAAATTTAAATCTAAATTCTTCCCAGGGAACATTCATATCACGAAGGTGACATTTTAGAGCTAGGAAACATTTGAGATTTGAAAATTTTGAACAGGAATATGAGAAGAGAAACTGAAACATATCTCTAGTTTTAAAGTTTTCTGCATGAAAAAGACAAAAATACATCGATTCACTCATGTGTCTTTAAGAACATGTGACTCAAGTGGAAGAAGCAGCAATTTGAGTTTTTTGTTTTGTTTCCTTTCTTTCTTCATGAAACATGTATTATCTTAAGCCAGTTCAGCAATGCCATTACAACTTAGAGTCATGCTGAGCAGTTTTAAGCCACTTGACCTAACAACTTAGAGATTTTTTGAGTGACAGTGATAATATGCTGACTCCTGGTATGGGTGTTCTAATGTCTGTCACAACATGAAAGGTATTCATTTAACAGAGGAACAGCAGAATCAGATAAACAAGGCATGTGTATCTGATTGATTGCAAGGGTTGGGGAGTGTGTTTTCAACTCATTCGATTCAAGATAAAAAGTATTTGCTCCAAATAAAATTCAAAACATGCTGTGTTTGTTTCCTCCCATCCTATGGTGTAGGGGATGGGGAGAGGTTCCTTTTTATTTTTTATGACTTTATTGAGATATAATTCACATAGTATACAATTCACTCACTTAAAGTGTACAATTCAGTGTTTTTTAGTATATTCATAGGGTTATGCAACCATCACCACAATCTAATTTTAGAACATTTCATCTCCCCTAAAACTAACACCATACTCATCAGCTGTCACTTCCCACTCTCTGTATACCCTACCCCAACCCTAACCAACCACTAATCTACTTTGTCTCTATAGGTTTTTGCCTGTCATGAACAGTCACCTCTTAATTGCCATTCATAGCTTGTCCCACTGAAATTCTTTTTATTTTATTTTTTTACATTATCATAAGGATAAGAATAGAATCAAGCCCTCAAAAACATGAATGGGTATCAAAAAAATTGTAGCAGGATAATCCACAAAAATATTGTTGAATACAATAACTTCTGATGGCTTAAATAACTGCCAAACAGTGAAGCTGTTCGAACGATGACAGATTATAGTATCATGAAAATCAAATACTAATAATTTTAAATATAAATTTGAAACAGGCTTGGATTGCAGAAGCTTTTCTTGCTCATAAGAGCAGCTATATCTGCAACCAGTAATTGCACATTCAAATCCTGACTTTACCTCTCATCAACTATGTGACTCTGGACAAGTAACAGAAGATTTGTAAACTTCAGTTTCCTCATCTGTAACAGGGGAATAATGATGATACCAACCTCCTGAAGTTAGTGTAGAGATTAGCACATGTAGGGCTTTTAGAACCAAGCCTGGCACATAATAAGCGCTCAATAAATGGTTGTTGTATCACTTTTGTTTGTAAGAACTCAATGATTCAGGTCAAATTCTAAAATGGAACTCTTAGAAATGCAAACTTGCCACTTGCCACATGTGATTGGTATTTTCAAAGTCTCTATTCAAAGAAGTTTCCTGCCATGAGAGCATTAGATCAAGGTCTAAGATACAGCAGTGTAGAGAAAAAATAGCATTGATCAAGTATGATTAACAGAGCTGTAAACCAGCCTTCAGTTGCTTGAGAGCCATGTGTTCTATAAATAGTAAAAGTGCTAATTTATTATTCTCACCTAAACTCATGTAACAGATTTTCCTTTTTTAAATTAAAAAAAATTACCAGCAACAGAAAGCTTACATAATGGTATTATACATGTCTAATAAAAAGTAAAGACTAGTGTTAGAGCATTATAAACCACCTATAACCTCTTACATTTGAAATGTTTTGCTAAGACCCTAAATGTGTGACTTTTAAGTCTGTGAGTGTGAACGGAAGTTGTGATTTGGTTTTGTGTCCATCAGTGTAAAGTCGTTTAACCACCAATGACTCTATTACGTTCTCTTTCATTCCAATACAAAATGACTTTGGGTAATAAGACTAATACATTAGATAATTTTATTTTTGAGCAGTTATATATTTTCTGTTCTTTTAAAGATGTGATGCTAAATATTATTATATCCCAATCAGATGACTCATAATACACAACATTTTCATACTTGGGAAATGTTAACACATTACAGTTCTTGCTTTGAAATGAAAAAAGATTTAATCAGACAACACATATTCATTTTCCTTTGATCCCATGAGACAAGTTAAATGATGTGGTTTGCATGTGGCCCCATTTTGGCCCTCAAACGCCTCTACACTGTCCATCTGTGTCTACATTTTAACCCCAGGCTTTCCTCCTTTGGGCATTGTTTTGTATTTGCATGAGAATTTGTAAATTTTTTTTTTTTTGCATGACAAGTCATCCATGATGTTGAAGTTAAATGTCTAACATATCTTGCAATACACATGTCATTAATTCTTACATGATTTTTTTCTTTTATTTTCAGTTACTGAAGTTTAAATATGCTTGAAAAGTAAAAGTGGCATGAAACTGGAGTGATGCAAGAATATTTAATGTTCCTTTAAGGACTTATCATTTTTTAGCTGGGAAAATTTGGGGGGCCGTTCCCAGCCTTGTCTCTGGACACAAGGCCTCAATGACAAGTTCTGACAAAACTATATTGAGCATAAGTGCTGTCAGCAGAGTCATAAATTCTGAAATAATACTTCTTTTTACCCTGAGAATGTATATCTAATACTTGATGTATTACATATAAAATATGTTGCCTAATTTCAAAAATTATCAAATATTTGACTTACTGTTTTTCTTAAAGCCTTCTTAATGAGACATAAAAATTAAGCTCGACTGATTTTGGTGAAGTTCCTAGCACCCAAAAATGTAATCAATTACTGAATGACAGCACCAACATTTTAGCATTTTAATGTTTCCTAAATAAACAAGACTACCAAAATGGATATCTGATATAGGAGCACATGAGTATACGAAGAAACTAAGTTATTTACACTATTCAGTCAAGCTTCAAACCCATAAGAGCACGTCACTGAATCCCACCAATGAATAAAATATATACATCTGAACATGTGCTTTTTCTTCCAAATAGTCACCCTGCTGGCCCTACATGTATTCCTACCAGCTGCCATTGCTAGAACTATTTTGGAATACCCCTTGTCAAATTACCTTCAGAGTCTTTGGCACATTCATTTTAATACCTACATGGTAACAAATCTTGTTCTTTGGAGAGTGACTGTCAGAGCCAGTCAAATAGGTATGGTTATCAAGCTGGTGAAACATATTTTTTAAATGATAGGTGACTATGAAATTACTAAGACTTGTAGAGCCTATAGCTTATAAAATGACTGTGAATTCATTTCCCAAAGAAGAACCCCACAAAGCATTTACATAACAGCAACAGGGGGAATAAATGAAATTTCCTTAAGGAGTCTTCTGGGCAAGCATATGAATAAGTTCTAATATATGTCTTATATTACATGTATCTGTATTATTTTTAATTCGGTCTCATTTAACCTAATGAAGTGGTTTACATTTTTAAGGACAGTCCTTCTTACAGTATTTTTTATCATGTCAGAATATAAATGAGTAACCATTATTTCTCCCTTGCTCGAGTGAATATCAAGCTACTCTCTTTTAATATCAGATTTGAGTTGACAGTGTCCTAGCTGTCACCAACTAGCCCCATGATATTAGCAAGAGACTCAACCTCTCTGTGCCTCTGGTCCCCTGTTCCCAAGATGAGGGTGTGGGGCTCACGTGTCTTTAAAATCTCTTTTGAATGAATAATTATTGTATATCTATGTGTGCTACTATAAGTATCATATATCATAAATCTACACACTTCTCTGTGTGTTTTAAATTAAAGCCAAGTGGAAGTAACTCATATTCAACTTACAAAGAAATGACATCCAGGCACTGAGGTGTCTAGTATCTCTAAGAAAGTCTTCTCTACCTGATGATAATGATGATGATAAAGATGACATTTGTATAGCACGTTATGTTTATCCTGCCTCACCTGAGTCTCACATCCTAAGAGCTGCTATCATTCATTATCCTCCAGTATGCAGATGAAGAACATACTGAGGTTCAGAGAGATTCAGTTACCTGTCTAAGGTGATGGACTAGCAAGTTGTAGAGCCAGGACAGAAGCTCTGGGTCTTCTGCTTCTAATTTAAGACTCTTTTCCTCCATCATCATTTACCTGCAACCAGTCTTTTCATTAGGAGGCATTTTTTCCAAGGTGTCATCATTCAGAATTTACACTCCTTGAAAATAAAATCTGCCTTCGGAGAGGCGCTGGCACCTCTTTAGACTATCCACTTGCGTCACTACAGCTCTCTCTGCTTTTACAAACTAGTTGTTTTGTCAGCATGAGTGTGACAACAATTAGACGTCCCCTGTTTTTGCCCCATGCCTTTTCTCCTTCACAGTCATTCAATGACAAGCGTAAAAAGAGCTTCATCTTTTCACGAAAATTCCCATTCTACAAGAACAAGGAGCAGAGTGAGCAGGAAACCAGTGATCCTGAACGTAAGTAGATTCTTGAAGAGAATGTCACATGCAGCAAAAGAGAAAAAAAATTCTTCACGGGCAACACGCATGACGTAGGCTCCCCCACGCCACACGCCTAGGCAAACAAACACGGTAGGCAGGCAGGTCAGGGCTTACTACTGTGACCAGTGTTTGGCTGCAGTCTGGATCCTTCCCTTGATGTGGCTCTTCTTTGCAGAATGCATTGGAGAGGGACTTCAGGAAGCTGGGACTTTGCTTCCAGCCAGCATTTTTCTGTGACCAGGGCTGGGGCTGGTTTGCCTTTTCTGTCATACAGCTCTTGAGGGCTTGAGACAAATTCTTTTCTGAACAGAAATACTGGATTCCATTGCCATGTGTATGTTTTTGAATTCTAGCTCATTGGGAGTGACTAAATTCTCTGTATTGATTACTAGCCCTGTGTTTACACCTTCCCTCCCAGCAAATGTTAAATACTTACTGAGCAGTGAGCTTGTATTTTTGGTGGATACTGAATCTAAGAATTTGTCTTGAAACTTGGGAGTGGAGCATTGCTCTGAATGGTACATTTCTGTGGCAACATTAACAGTGGGCACAAATGGCATTTGGTAAATCTTCCTCTTTTTCTGTAACAGTCTTCTGATTTTTTTTTTTTAACTCACTATCTTTTGAGTTGCTTTACAAATCTTTGAGTCTCAGCCCAGGGAGTTTGGGGTGAAAGTTGTTTCAAAAGAAGAAAGAGTGGGATCCAGATTGCTTAGGCAACACGGTCTGTCATGGTAGTATCCATTTCAACTCCACTGACTTCTTCCTTCCTCTTCCGTGGCTGTTCTTCCTCTCTCATTGCTCTCTCTGGGGACTTCCATGCAGGACATCCCCGGATTAGGTGACGACGGTTATGGAACAAAGACTCTGAGTAAGTTCCCAGGAATGGTCACTGTAACTTTTCTTTTCTTTTCCTTTCCTTTTGAGTTTGGCTTTTGTTCCTTTTCTTGAGGGCCTTTCACTCCTAGCATGCACAAGATACGAGTTTTATGTTACCTAGCTGTGAATGCTCCTACAGAGTAATTTCAACCGTTTTGTTCTGCATGTCAGCATTTAAAAGCCAAGTGTGTCAGGCACTGTAACTTCTGTTGCAGTTCACACCTGCCCTTTCTGACCATGTGATGTGGCCAACATGGTCATGATGCCAACCACGGCATCCCTTGCTCTGCCGCCTAACACCTCCCAGAGAGCAAGAAGCCATGTTGAAAGAAAGGGTGAGCTAAATGTTCTAGAACAAGAGAGTAGAAATGTACTTTACGTCCTTTCTTCTGCCTTGATAGCCAGAAATATTTAATGACCTTGCCAACTTCCATAATTGGGTCATACTTTGCTAGTAGTAAAGGAGCTATTTTATTGTCAAAGGGAACATGCCTTCTCAAAAAATAAACATTAAGCTATTTGATCTTCCATGGATAATTCTTTGTTATTAACTATGATTGATTTTTTTCTCTGACTTGCAGTGATCCTGCTTGAAACGTTTGTATGATAAAATTTTAGATATGTATTAATATGTTTTTCTATCAGTCATTTATTAGTGGCATTACATAATCAGGTCTTTGTTTTATAGTATAGACTGCAAAATAAAGTATATTAAACCTTTAACTTTTCTAGTTATTAATGCCTTTAGTCTGTGTCTCGTTGCACTAAGCAATAAAAATTAATAATCCTGTGTTAATATACTATGCTATGATTTTTCTCTCTTTAACACTAACTCCGTTGTGTAGGCACCAATTAAATAAGAATAGTTTGTGTCTTTTGCAACTGTATCACATGCTCATTTTTTTGTTTATTTTGTTTTATTTTAATTTAACAGCTATGGGCAATATTTTTAGAAGTTGTTCATTTCATTTGTATAAAACAAAATAGCATTGAGCTGGACTTTGTTTTCAAGAGCTGTTTCTTAACCCTGTGTAATGATATGCTTCATCCCTCAGATTGTTAATTTGGACTTTTTTTTTAGATATAGATATAGAAAACAAAATTTGATCAAGAGTAACTACTGATCTTTTTAAAGATGAAAACTTTATCTTTGAGTCTCTCTATGGCATATGTCATGAAATTTTTCTTGAATTAGTGGCTGAAGTTCAAATACTGATCTCAACATTATCTGGATAGCATCAAGTACCACCAGGTTCTAGATTTTCAATGGGGGCGGGGTGCGGAGAATCATTTTAATATATTGTGAATAAATGAATATCACTGAAAAGTAGTTGCTATTAGAATGTCAAAAATGACCTTTTAAATCCAGAATGTGCAAATGTTTGTTTTGCTTTTTTAAAAATTGAACAGATTTCAGTAGGTAAAGTTATTTGCCAATTAATGCTATCATTAACCATCGTTTGGACTTTAGCTGGAACATATTTTCAAATTTCTCTTTACCTACAAAATGGGAAAATTCTGTGATACAATATCTTGATACTAAGAGAGATCGGTTAAGTAAAACACCACATAGATAGCATAACTTTATTCTCAGTTATTTTAAAATTAAAAAAAAATAAAAAAAAACAAGTACAACAAAAAGACCCAAAAAACCCTGTCATCGCCAATTCAAGGTACTTAAGATAATCGCGTATATGCAGATACACCTTTGTTGGGTGTGTCCCTTGACTTTTTTTCAACAACAGAAAACAAATTTGCCCTAGGTCATTCACACTTCTTTCCCTAATACCCTCTGCACTTGTAAAGTGTGTGCCTAAATTAGCAACACAAAGATAAATGACTCCTATGATTTTAGCCCATGTTTTGCTTTTCCTTAGTTTCATTCTCTAAAACTAATCCTTCCAGGATGCATTAACTCAGTTGTGAGAATCCTTCCACGACATATACCATATCCCATCGTCACATTGTTCACTTTAAAAGTATTATAATTTATTTGTCAAATATACCTCAATAAAGCTTTAAAAAAAAAAAGACTAATCCATCCAATTGGTGAGAATCTATAATATGAAATACATTTTAAAGTACTTTTTACTATGAGAGAGAGAATAATGTTCTATATTCTTTCCATTTTCTAAAAATGAACAAGTTGCCACTTTTTAAAAGCCCAGTTATTGGTAATGAGCTTCAGAAATCAGTCATATATTCTTCATTTAATTAACCTGATATACAAAGGACTTGATAAGTTAATGAATTTATCTTCTATAACTTCATACAGAGTACAAATGAAATGATTTTTGGAAATAAAAGCTCTAATTCTGGCATACACATCCCTGTTATGTTAGCTAAACTGTATTTTTTTTAAAAAAATTTTGAAATATCACCATACAAGCAAGTTATTCAACATGAATTAAAAGCATACTTCATGCCAGGACCTGTGCTTGGTATCAGACCATTTATCCCCTGCCTGTTTCATTCCTCCAGAACCTAATAGCTGTCCAAGGAAGAATCTGGAAATAAAATCAAGAAAATATTGAACTGATTCATAAACCATTTTTCAGCAACTCATTTCTTCCTCTAAAATTTTCTCCTCACTCACTGAAGCAGCAAAAATTCTCAACAGTCCCTTTTCATCCTGAGAATTTGTTTAAGAAGTATTTACATAGAAATAAATTTCATGGGGTCCCAAGGACCACCTGGCAATCTGAAATACAATATTCCTGCAAAATGCCTAAAGGCTACCACAGAGAAACAAAAAGCTTGTAAGCAAACGGTGCCTACACACCAGAAGCTTCTGAACTTAAGAGTCAGGAAACATCCAGCTGAGTCACATGAAACTGGAAAATTAGGGCCATGGGAACGGGGCAAAGTATGCGTAAAAAGAAAAGTGCTTAGGTTGACATTCTATATTTTTTTGTAATTAAAGGTACTTTGCTGTTTGCTAAAAAGAAGACCCAGCAATCAAGTAGTAGCTTCCTATAACTCGTGGAGATAAAGTTTTCATCTTTTGTATCTTATCTGAGTTTTCTTAATGCCACCTCTTCTGCAGCCTTTCCCCATGCCTCCCGCTTACACTTGTAGTAGCCTTGCATGAGTGTTATTCTTTCACGTTCTGGCTGCTCTCCAGTGCTTGGTATTTCTTTAATTTGCTGTGCTGTTCTTGCAGAACATGTCTCCTCTAATGCCAGCGATAGCGAAAGTAGCTACCGTAAGTTACTGCTTTGGTTTGTGGTTCTTTTCTTTGCAATTGCTCCATTGCCTGTGCTGGTCATTTCCAATTTTTGCTCTTGTTGTGTTTCAATTGCTGCCCTTTATCATCCTCATCCAAAGCAAATGGCTTGACGTGAAATTGTCACGTGATGTGGAAGGATACAAAAACACTAGGGTCGTCTGTGGGCTCCTCTGTGATGGTGCAAGCAATAGCGGGCTTGCTGAAAACCAGAAACAGTTCCAACCTCAGTTGGCTGTGGCCTGATGGGGCAGTTCTCCCAGAGAAGGTGGGGGGAAAGTTCAGCCTGGCGGACTTGGACATTCAGCCCCCTAAAATAATTAAAACTCCCTGCAGGGTGGTTGAAAAGTCATCATGGTTTTATTTTCCTTCTCATTTTGCCTTTTTCTTTCTGTTGCCAGCTTCCCTCTCCAAGAGAAATCTTGCAAAATTACAGTGTTCCTTTTAAATTGAATGTGAACTTTTTTATCTCTTCTCTCCTTGATTAATATTCGAAAGCAGATGCTATGATATATCTAACTTTATATTTCTGATGGTTGGGAAGTGATGAAAAAGTTTCATCCTCTAATGGTGAAGGAACTTTTTTTTTTTTAAAGTGAACAAATCTTGGATCAAAAAGCTTAACTTTCTGAAAAGGTAGGTAACTAAAAATCATTCCTGGTCTTTGTCTTTGTTTGGTCACCTCAAGCCATTTGCTTAGTGTATAAAAATATTCACCAAACACCAAGCACATCCCTTTGATGCATTCTTGTGGTTTCTCACCACCTACTTCCTGGGTTTTGGTGACTACCATAGGTACACATTACCACGGGGATTCTTACAACTTCTATAATATTTTTTGTCCTCCTTAGTGAAATGGGTTACTCAAAAA